CAAGGTCCACAATGGCTCAGTAAATGGGGGCAGACAAGGCCATTAGTACAGGATTTGGGATAAGAAAACATATTTCCTGGCTGTGTTACCTTGGGCCTCTGTTTCCTCATAGGAGGCAGGGATAATCATACTTCCAGAGAACTGCTGTGGGCAAAATGAGAGGAAAGAAGCAAGTGCTCTGCAAAGTGGGAAGCCATGCTGGGTTAGCCAGTCTGTTATTGGTGGGGGTGGAGAAGGTAGGAGAGTAGAGGGAGGGAGGAAAAGCAGAGGAAGGAAGAAGAGGAACCGGCTCTGGGAGGCAGCAGGCAGGCCTTGATGTGCCAGTGGCCCCAGCCCCAGGCCCCCTGAGGGTCACAGCAGCAGGCTTGTCTCCCTGGGAAGTGCCCTGCTGCGGGGTCAGGAGACCAACACAGGCCCACCTCCGTGTGGATGCTGGCTGTGTGGTCAGGGGTTACAACCCTGGCTCCACATCAGCATCCCATGGGGAGCGTTGCCAAGTACCAACCAGATCCCCACATCTCACCAATTGCATCTGACTCTCCGGTGTGGGAGGTAGGCCTGGGAACAGCAACTTTGAGAACCTCGACCCTCCAACTCTGTGTGACTCTTGGACTTTTTTGCTGTCATTTCTTCTCACTGACCACAAGATGGTGCTCTCTTTCTGGGAAAGCTCTGATGTTCAACAGACAATTCATTTTCTTTATTAATCCTGAAAGAGTGGGTGTGAAATTAACAATCTTCACAGCATCTCATTAAGCCAGAATTCTGTGCCCAAGTTGTCCAGCTGTGTAACGTATACACCTTTCCCTTCTGCTAGAGACCATACCGGCTTAGGACAGGTCATCTCTTGTTACAAAGCAGAGTAGGCATTTCTTGCTGCTTTCTGATCAAAATCATTACAATCAATAACAACTAACATTCCTTTCATCTTTTACCATTTGCAAAGTGCTTTTTACCAACTATCCTCAGGATAACTTTATGAAATGGTTATTATCGTCATTTATAGATAAAAAAACCAAGGCTCAAAGCACTAGCTCAAGGTTACGAAGCAAAGAGCTGGCAGAACCAGATTCAGGGCCCTTCCCACCTACTTGGATAAAGAGAGAGGTGCGTCAGAGAGACCAGCTCTCAATGGATGCGGCCCCGACAAGTACAGCCCTGAGACGGGAAGCTTCTCGGACAGCCTCTGCAGCCTTCCTGAGCGGGCTTGGAAGACAGACAGATAGATGTCCTTCTGGAGTTTCACACTGTCACACATGCCACAGGTCAGTAGACGATACATCTGACTGGGTTCAGTGAGGAGCTGAGGTGACAAATGTGAAGTTTCTAGCACAGAGTAATAAAGAGGCAGCAGAGACTCAATAAGAAGACAGACTGGATTATTTTAAATTTTCTGTTCCAGGAAAATGAACTGCTGTGCCAATAAGAAGAATCTGCCTTAAAGAAAAATTTAACAGACTCATCTCCAAAGAAAATCATTTTCTACCAGCCAGTGATGTCTTACGAGGCTAGTGGATCTGAGGAAGGTTATGTATGAGATCAGAGATTTACTACTAGAGTTTCATAATCTATCAGGAACCCAAATGTCAGGACCCAGGACCCCAATTCCTCTGGGTGTTTTTATTCCAGATGAAGGGGTTGCAACTGTAGGCTCAAGTTACTTGGAGTAAGAAGAATGTTATTCAGGACAGAAGCAGTTACATTAAAGTTTATTAAGTCAGTATTTTGAACACTTTACTGACTCCAGTGTACATCTTAGCAATTCAGTATGTTGTTGGACCCATTTTCTCTACCTCAGCTTCACTGTCTGCAAGTGGTATAACAGTACCTATCTCATAGAATTATTATAAGGATCAAAACAGTTTATTTATAAAGCACTTAGAACCATGCCTGGTACATAGTAAGCACAATGTGTTTCTTAAATAATGCTAAATAAATAAATGGATATGAGTATGTCCATTTACATACTTTACAAATAAAATTTTAATTTTCCAAATTCCAAGTAATTTTTAAATTATGTTATTTGTACACCTATAGGTATACAAAATATATTCAGAGGGCATAAAATAATGCCTTATGACTAAAACTTGAAATCCCACTGAAAATGCATAAATTTGATTAGAACAGTACTAGTCTTTGGAGACTTGTAAACATCAGAAATAGGTTAAAAATTCTTTAAGTCTACCATGTCATTATTACTGATGTTAACAGATAAGCCTATCCATTGTCTAAAGAAATACAAGAATAATGCAGTGATGTTTCTCTCTTTTTAAAATGTATTTCTTTTTTTCCACTTGATTTCTTCTAAATTTGGAAATTAGTGGTCATTTTGGAGGCATTTTCCCAACAATAAAAACCCTCAGCATGACCCTTGGTCACCTCTTAAGTGAATGGGAGTATAACACAGCAACAGTCAGTTCAAACCTCATCTTCAAGTACAAATTAAAAGCAGTTCAAAAGAGAGACAGAGCATCTGCTCTAATCCCAGGGAGAAAGACTGGAATGCTAAGATGGCAACTGGGGCAGGACTTGGAAGAAAGAAAACATATATTAAAATGTTGCTTTCCAATCTAGGAGTCATTTCCTCTCATTTTGGCATTAATATCCTTTTTAGTAGAACTATCATATTGTTTCTTGCTAACAGGTTTTCCTGAAGGCTTTTGCTTCTTTTTCTTGTAGGCTCTTTTATGAAACAATTTCTGGAGAGGAGATGGAAATAACACTGTACCATTTCCAGGTACCTCCTGATAATCCCTCCTCTTTCCTTCTGGTACTTAGGCCGATATAACAGACCCTTACACTGTCTCCTCATCCCATCCCCACAGACCCCACTCTCAGCAAGCCCCATCCACCATGGCCTGTCCCACCAGGTCCAGGAAAGGGGGTCTAGAGGGCAGGAGAGAAGTGCAGACATGATCTGGGTACTCAGGTGGATCCCGAACTATAGTTTTACCTTGCAGCAATGGTATTTTACAAGGAGTTTAAGTTGTTTAGTACCAAAATTATAAGGCATTTGCACTGAGAATTCCATAAGCTTCTGTACATTTAGCCAGGGCCCTAACTAACATCACATTATTGTTTCTATGGAAAAATCAAATTCTCATTTCAAATACCTGACCTCAGATGAACTTGTACACCAGAACTTGAGTGGGGGACTATTCACATACTCCCACACACTCAGGGACAGTTCCTCTTTCTATCAAGCAGACTGTCTACCAGTCAGTCTGTCTTGCATTCACACTGTCTTTTTATTAAAGGATAACATATCTGGCAAAAACAAAAACAAACAAAAAAAAAACCTGTGAAAACAAAAAGCTAAGATTGAAAGACTAAAATTAAATATTTTATACTTACTGAGTTCAAAGTAATGGTTCTGTTGTAAATTTATTAAACAAAAAAGAATTACTCTTAAAAATGATCTTGTTTTTATAGAGGTAGTATGGTAAAAAACATAGTACGTGAATTTTGTAGTTGTAAACTATGAATCTCCAGTCAAGCTACTTTTCTGAGCCTCAGTTTTCTTGTCTATAAACAGGGATGGTTATATTTGTCTCTTGAGGATTATATTTTTATGCAAGATTTAGAAATTTCTAGCAATAAATCTGGCACAGTGGTTATTTCCTGTCCTTTCTCCCTTGTAACCTGTTTAACATCTTTTTGAACTCACTGTTTCACTTCAATAAAAATACTTTCAAATCACATTTAATTTTCAGAAGTTTTGATTTAAATTTTTCTCTATTCTTGGGTACCCTACCTAGCCATCTGATTGACTGAGGTTAATGTCCAAAATAGACTAGTGTGGGTAGATTATTAACTTATAAATGACATAGTTTCAAGAGTTTACTTATGTTGATAATTGTAATCATTTATTTAACTGACTCACCTGTGCCAACTCTCCCAAAATATTTAATTTTCACAAGATTTGTGGATTTCAATTCTTTTCTCTTTTTTTTTCTTGAATAGGGATTTAGACTCTTGTAACAGCCTCAACCAAGATTCCTTCTGTGAGAGACAGTTAGCAAAGTCAGGTTGTATTGGAATGAGTCAAGGAATGACTTCCATGGAGGGCAAATCAGATTTCATTTAAGTAGATTCGTCAAGTGAACGTTCTTTCCCATTTACCGTTAAGCCCGTTGCACTGCAGAAGCAGAGGCAAGGGTGGGGGTGACATCTGTGAGCAGAGCAAACACACATGAGCAGCGGGAAGGAGCGGGGGTCTTATGGCCTCAAGTGAGCAGAGTCCATTCTGCTGCCTAGAGTGTCCAGGACGCTACCCCTCCCGACACTCTACTGGTCCCCACTCCTGGTGTTTGTCTTCCAGGCTGTCAGAGTTGGGGGAATCTGCCTGTGAGTTGAATTTGACACCCCTGTTTCTTATTCTATGGTTTCATAATCCTTGATTTTTTTCAGTCAGCTGTGTGTCCACTGGAGATCAGGTCTTGCCTGCAAAGCTTGAACTCAGGGTAAAAAACACTCTCTGCTGTAAGGAAGCCTGAAGACTTAGGTGATTTAAAGTAATTTACAGCCCCCAACAATCACAGAGATAAGTCCATCAGAAATCTTTTTCTGTTTTGAATTGAAATGTTGGTTTTTTTCTTCCACTCTCATAAAGATGTGTTTCTATCATGTGGCTACCAGGTAGCCAAAAGCTCACAGATGTCCAGACACCCTGCGCTTACTGAGTGTGTGTGTATTCAAGGTTCATTCAGGTAGCTTAATATGAAACCAAAATGTCTGGTCCTACATTCAGCTTGATAAGAGTGCTGATTTTAATTTTGTGATGTAGAAATAAGGCCAAAAGGCAAACAGGCAAAAAGTAGACCTAAAAATGGCTTTAACTTACTAAACCACTATATCTTTGACAGCAATTTTAGATAAAAATGGTCCAGAGGATAAAGTGCATAATTAATGATGAGAAACTGATTCCTTCAAGTCCCATAATAAAGAGTTCTCCCTGCAGTAATCATTTGTCCAGAGTTTTATTCACGCAAAAGTGACGGTTACTTCTTGCTTCTACCTCCTTCATTCCAGTACTGTTCAGTCTGCATTTCTGTGAGTCGGGAAATTGTGCGCTGAAATGCAAAGATTTCCTCTTCTCCAGTAAACATGGCGAGTCCTTCTGCTGAGTCCTAATTACCAAAAAAATAAAACAACAATCCAGCACCAATTAAAACCTTTGCAACTGAAAATTTAAAGAACTAAGTACAAGTTTAAAAAATACTTTTTGAGCTTAGATTATAAAATATTCTACAAATTTTTTTCATTAAATTAGACTAAAGAATCAACTAATTTTACCCAATAATTAGATTAGATTAGAGAATCAGCTAATATATGTTAGACTAGAGAATCAACTAATTTAAACCAGTGATCAATAAGCAGAACAAATTACCAGAAAGAAAACATTAGACGAATAATTAAAGCCGAAACAACACCCTAAAATCCAGATAAGAAAACTTGCTCAGATGAAAGTTCTCTATAAAATCTAAAGGAAGGACATTCCAGACAGAAAAGGAATTCTTTCTCAAAAAGTGCATGCCAGAAAGAAGTAACATCAGGACCACCCTGGTGGCCCACGAGCTAAGACTCCAAGCTCCCACTGCAGGGGGCCTGGGTTCCACCCCTAGTTAGGGAACTAGATCTGTTATGCCCAAACTAAGACCCAGCACAACCAAATAAATAAAAGTAAATACAGATTTTTTTTTTAAAAGAAATAAGCAACAACAAAATCCAGTAGTTCCGGTATATCAATATGCGGCTGAGACTCTCCCTTGAAGCTTCACAGTCAGGGCCGTTCCCAAGGGGAGGCCTGAGGGCTAATCTCTTTTTCCAAACTGGGTGACTGAGAGGTCTTCTGGGACCTGGAGATTGTGTCTGGGAGTGAGCTTTGGGAAGGCCAGAGCTGTGTGTGGTCTTGCGCTGCTGGGACACTCAGTACTCCCATGAAGCGTTATTGGGGAGCCCTCCGTGAGGCTAGTAAATAACCTGGGACTGGTGATTTCAACACAGGCTATAGCCTGTAAGTAAACACTGAATCTTGTCTCTTTCCTTAGGAGTTCGCTATTATACTCTCTCAGAGAAAAGTTCTGCACTCCTAAGTCCAAATTACTGACCCACTATAAAACTGCATGACCCTATAACCACATGCCAGGACTTCTTCATGTATTATTGGCCCCAAGTGCTGACTGTACTTTGCCCTATATCTGAACTCTGATTAGAAGAAAAATTCAAAAGCCAATGATTTAAAGAATTTCAGAAACTGAGATGAAGTAGCCCCTTAAGTATATTCTTCCAAATTGTCAAAAGACACTATTTGGATATATTGCTCTCAGAGAAATGGGATCATAAGCAGCTATGTATCTCTACATGTAGATTTAAAAATCATATTTTGAAAGTTCACTATTTAAATAATTATTGGCCTCATTTCCCCAAGCTCCTGAGAATGCATAATTTCAACTCAGGTCAATAAGGAACTGTTTCCTCATTCCAAATGGTCTTTTACCTGGGGTTGAAAGAATGGGGCTCCCCTCATTTGGGGGGGTGAGTGTTTATAGTTTTAAATTTTTTACTAATATTTCAGTTATCTACAGTTGAGAATATACCCTGTTAATATTCATACAGAAAAAGGAGATGCAAAGCCACTTCTGTTTGGCCTGGAGTGAACCCCCCAAGCTCCAGGAGAACTGGGCCAGCATCAGCCGGTTTCCGACACGGTGTCCTCAGAGCCTGGCACCCAAAGGTGCTCCACAAATGTCTGCAGAATGGGGTTAGGAGATGAACCGTGGATTTCTTTTTAAGCAAAGGGCCTTGTGCTCTACAGATCCAGCAGACGTGGAGGAGGATACCCAGAAAAGGCAGCAAGGCGTTGCCGAGGGAGTCCAGAACCAGACACGGGTGCCTGGGGGCCAGCTCTGGCCTGCCACTGCTCAGTGGGGTAACTGCAAGCCCACTAGTTCACCTTCCTGGACTTGGCTTTTATCACAAAGATCCCTTCCACTCTAAGGCTATTCTAATTCTCTATATTTACTGATGTTGAGGATATGTCTGCTATACTGGCTTTAGAAGAAAGCGGCAAATCAGTGGTTAAATACATACTGCATTCCTTCTTTAAAACGTAGCCATGCATCAAACCAAAACAATTAAGTTGTTTTATAATAAAAAAAGATTATGTTAATATCACCTACCTGGCTCAGCCCCAAATCATCCATCAGTATTCTGCTTTGCTCCAACTCACTGTCATGATGATCATACAAAAATAAGCTTGATATAGGAGCTGATGCAGAGCAAATTACACGCACCTGAAACAGAAAACAAGCAAATGGTGTTACTCCTTACCTTTAACAAGTTGAAGGCAAAAACAAATTTCTCATAAAATAAAAATCTGCCATAAAGGGAGCTTAAGATTTTTGCTTTTAAATGGTTCTAAATATATGCAGCAAAATTGGTACTTGGTGAAAATATACTTTTACAGGCTTATAGAATGTGTATTTATAAAGAACAATGCCTTGAACTCCTCTCTTTCAATCTAAGTAACAGTCTTAACTTCATTTCTCCTTCTACACATTTTCTCTAAGTCCTAGCTTTATTTTAGAAAAAAAAATATTTTAAAAGCTTCAATCTATCACATTTTCCCCTGTTTCATTAATCTGTTTTTCTAATTAGAGATTTCACCTAAATATCCAAAAGTCACCATAAAGCTACTAAAATTTTTTTTAATCTCCATGTTTTAAAGTCCACAAAAAGAGCATAAGCAAAATGTAGTTGTCAAAATTTCAAAACTGGCAGGACCCACCTGCACTGTATCTTCTTCATTAATGAAAAAAAATTGTTGCATAAATAAGTGAATATAGCATTTCTTTAAAGTGGATTTCAATATTTGGGAAACTCTTTTTTCTATTTCTGGAATATCTCTAAAATATAAATAGACACACCACATAACCTATAGTCAGAGACCCTGGGATCACAGATGTTTCCAAATGTATTTTTGAAACAGAATACTTTTTTTAGGAAAACCTTTTGACCATTTTCATACTTTTTCTAATAGTCTCTTTAAAGTGCTATTTTTAAACTGCACAGTACTTTACAAATACTTCCACACAGCTTATACCGCCTTCTGAAGTAGGGAACAAAGGTTTTATGGGGCAGCTCCAGGCCTGGAGAGTCTCAGCTCGTGACGCCACTCCTGATCTCTTCCAGTTCTAAGCCCAGTGGCTTTTCCATTACCTCTGAGGTTGACATTTTCACTTGACTGTGTGAAGCCCATCTCTGTGCGCATCAGAGATGCTCCCCCGATGCACCGTTACCCTTAGCTGCACATGGGACAGCTAAGTCCAGTGCACTGCTCCTCTAATTACACCCTGAGTTACAAGAACCTGCATTTATGCCAGCATCCAGCCAGACATCCTTGAAAAACACTAAGCTTGGCACGAATACGTCTTGATTACATGTTTGAGTGAATGTCCATATGTAATCACACACCAGAAACTGCTTTCACAACTTAATAAATTTTATGTTCACTAGTTTAAAACATATTCTTCCTGATGTTTAGGGCTTTCCTGGTGGCTCAGACGTAAAGTGTCTGCCTGCAATGTGGGAGACCAGGGTTCGATCCCTGAGTCGGGAAGATCCCCTGGAGAAGGCAATGGCAACCCACTCCAGTACTCTTGCCTGGAAAATCCCATGGATGGAGGAGGCTGGTGGGGAACAGTCCATGGGGTTGCAAAGAGTTGGACACGACTGAGCGACTTCACTTCATTCCTGATGTTCAAGGAGACCTGAATTTGTTTTCAGAATTCACAGCCATCCTTTTAAAATCATTATTTAAGTAAATATGCTGATATCCATGGACACAAGAGCCTGGTGGGCTACAGTCCAAGAGGCTGCAGAGTCGGACATGACTGAACACACATGCGCTATCAGTACTTTAAAACAATGTATTGATGTTTGGGACTAGTCTTTCCATATACAAATGACCTTCTACCTCCTTTTATAAATTATTTTAACCATAAATGACACTTTTTTCATTACTTAGATGGAAATGTCCTTATTTCACAGACTTCTATAAATACATTCTAAAACAATGTCTGTTTAATGCTTCCAATTTCTGAGATAAGAATTTCGACTACGTTTTTAAAAGAGTATAAACTTTAAATGTGTGCTTTAGTTAAAGCAAATGTTAGGAGAGTAGTTCTGACATTCCATCATATTGCCAGAAAAATCTTTTTGTCTAATAAAGAAGTAAAACGGTGTGGGGAGGTAGGATCGGGGGTGGGGCTGAGGGGTAGGGATCATAAGCTTTCAAAAATGAGAGTTTATCAATCTGCCACTCTAGGAACCACCTACCAGTGCGCCCCTCCCACTTTGTTCTTGAAGCACTGCCCTCTGAAAACAGAGTGCTACCTCTGGGCAATGTATTCCAGACCCCATGTGATTATTTCAGAGCAGAGTCTCTTGATGAGTAATCCAGAAGGAGACAAGTAACAGACCTTGATCACCAGCCCTGGTGTTCTCAGCCTCCTGCTCACAGGGCCCCCTGACAGCAGGCAGCAGATTCTGACGGCACTCACTAAGGCAGGTTGCCTTTCATGCTCAGGCCCATCCCAGGGCCTGTGCTGCCAACTCCCCGCTCTGCACGTGGAGCCCCGCCATCACAGCTCAGTGTTTATGAGCAGCACCCGAGCAGCTGGTGAACCAGCAGGCTCCAGGCCCCGTCCCTGGTCTTCATCTGCTGGTGTGGGGTGGGGTGAGCTCAGGAATCTGGATCTTAAGGAGTTCAGATGATTCTGGTGCAGCTGGTCCTCAGAAGGACTTCCTCTGCCTGCCCCCAGGTCGCACACAAAGATCAGTCCACTGTTCCCCTGGACTCTCAGAGCACCAAGTCCCCTCTCTCTCCAAGAGAACATCCCACAGTGTGGACTTTACACTCAGTTCTGTGTACATTTAATCAGTCTCTCTTCAACACTAGACTATCAGCTCCATGAAGGCAGGCAGCATGCCTAGTTTTACTTGTCACTGAATTAGCCCTGTGCTTGGCGTGAAGATTGCAGAATGAACGAATAAAGGAAACATTAAAAATCTCACCTCTCCCTCCCCGCAGATTCTGGTACCTTCTCCTCCCCTCAAGGTCCCTTCAATTTTAGAATCATTGCTCTATTTCAGTACAAGGAATAAGGAGGGAAAACTGTACCTAACGGTAAAACAATATTTCACTCTAACTTGAGGTGGTACTTTAACTTTACTGTAAGTATATTTACAGGTATATATTATTATCAGTGGCTCGTTGTTGTTCAGTCATGTCCAGCTCTTTTCGACCCCATGGACTGCAGTATGCTAGACTCCCCTGTCCTTTACTATCTCCTGAAGTTTGCTCAAATTAATGTCCATTGAGTCAGTGATGCTAGTGGCTCACCTTCATTGAAAGCTTACTGTATGCCGCACAATGTTCTAAATATTTTACCTGCTCATTTCATCCTCACAACAATCTTACGAGGTAAATACCATTATTATCCCCTTTTTCTAAAAAAGGCAATTCAAGCTAAGTTGGTCTTCAAGGTATTCAGCCTGGTCCTGGGGTCCACTCCTTAACCACTAGGCAATAATGCCTCTGATGAACAGATAAAAGCTCGGCGACTCATACTAGTAATAAGATACCTGGGTTTTTATTGCTTGTTTAGGGACAATGATAGTTACTGGGGTTTCCAAGTCAGAGAGAAAGAAAACTCTAAAACTGAGGATGGCCCTTGAGTCATTCGTTCTTTCATTTTGTTCATTCATTATTTCATCAGTCCAATAATTTATTCATGCAACAAATGTTTACTGAGCACTCTATCTAGGTAAGGCATTGTGCTGTGCATCCTCACAGACAGAGCACATGATATGTCTAGGTGAATGATGGGATTGGGAATATAGCAGAGTGTTTTATGACGGGAGTTTTAATATAGTATGATTACTATGACTGCCACCACCAATAGTACTTGTGCAGCATCAGCTTGTGCCAAGTGCTGCTTTAAAAGGTTTCCCTGGATTAGTTTATTCTGTCCTCACGATAATTCTCTGAAGTAAATACTACTTCAGAGTAGTTATCTTCGATTTGTATGTGACAAAACTGAGACACAGAGAAGTAAAGTAAGTGGCAGACCAGGATTCGAGCCCAGATAATCTTGCTCTACAGTCCAGAATGTTTAGTTCTGAGTAAATGTACCATATCCTTACCTTGAAATCATAAAAGTTATCAATGAGAGTTATGAATCTCCGAGCTTGGGTCCTCTTTGCCAGGGTAAATTGTGGAATGTTTCGTAAAAATACTGTGTCAAAATTCTTTGACAGTTCCAAATAGTCACTGGCTCCAAGTGGCTATAATTAAAACGGAATAGAGAACATAAAATTGAAATAAGTCAATTCTGGTTGAAAATATCTCTTTTTCTCATCACGATGTGATCTAGGTGTAGCTTTGAGGTAACTTGACCAAACATAGTGGTGTTTTCAGAGCAGGCTGAGGACAGTATTAAGTAGGGATATTAATACTTAATAGGGCTATTAAGAAGGGAGGAGAGAAGACAAGCGCACGGTGGGACATGAAAGAATAATTCTAGCCACCTCAGCTGGTATCCTGTAGGCCCACAACCTAAATCTGGTCTTCACTCTTTTTATTTATATGACATGACTTTAAACATGTTCAAACGAATCCTTCCTATGACTCAACTGCAAACTGTCACTACTGGTAAACGCAGCTGTCTTATTGCAGCAGCTGAATATTATATCACTACTCTGAAATAAAGACTATGCTCCAGTATAAAAAGCATCAGACAATATTTCTTGTTTAATTTGAGGTCCAATTACTGAAATACAATGTAGCAAAAACACTGCTAACCTCTGTAGGCAATACCAGAGGGTTTTCAAACAGAAGTAGAGCGAGCCCTGGAGCACAGCCTGGCGCACCTGTTACCTCCCCACACAGGCAGGATGCAGCCCTCGGGGTCCACAGGACCATCACAAAGGTGCTGCCTGCAGGTGTAACACGCTTGTTCCTGAAACATGCAGGTAATTCATGACAGTTATGAAAACAATCCACACATTCTCTGGAGTCAGAAACACCCCCAGGAGAGTCACTTCTCATTTTAAGTTGGGTGTGAATGGCTGTACCCTGTGAGCAGGAGCCATGAGCAAGGGGCAGGAGAAAGTTTCTGGCCCTGGGAGAATGCAGAGACACTCAAAGGCCAGGAGCTGCTCTCGGGTCCCTCTGCAAGCTCTCAGATCCCAACGACTGATCCCTGGGACCCAGAGAGCTAAGCCTCTTCAACTTCTGGCAGAAGTTATCACTACTCCTCCCTGTTTAACAACATCTCCCTTGGACTGCCCTGGTGTCTCAGTGGTAAAGAATCTGCCTGCCAATGCAGGGGACACAGGCTTAATCCCTGATCCGGGAAGATAGCACACACTGGGGAGCAACTAAGCCCATGTGCCACAACTATTGAGCCTGTGCTCTAGGGCCTCGGAGCCACAACCGCAGAAGTCCACGTGCCCGAGAGCCTCTGCTCCACAACAAGAGAAATCATCGCAATGAAAAGCCCACGCACAGCAACTAGAGTCGCCCCACTCGCCACAACTAGAGAAAAGCCCTCGCAGCAATAAAGACCAAGTATAGCCAAAAATAAATAAAATAAATAAATAATTTTAAAAAAAAGAATGTCTCCATCATTGGGGTGGTTGTTTGCATTAAAACTTCTGCTTTCAGAAATGTAGATACAACTATGTTCCTGGAAGAATCAGGCAACTGCAAGGAGGGGGAGAGGCATCCTCACCTTAGAGTCCACCCTTTATACCTGCCACTCGCCTAACAACTAGCTGAAATCAATGATGCTCAGAAAACTTTTCCTGCAGGTGTGGGGCGGTAAGAGTAAATTGGAGAGGGAGGCTTTGGGGAGGTGGTTCCCTCAAGAAAAGCAGCTCTAAGAAGGATGCGCAGCAACTACGAGCCCAGGGACACACCACCAGAGCGTGGGCACATGGAACAGATGACGCCTTGAAACCTTAGAGACGCCCTTCCTCCCCTCTCCTCCACCAACCAGTAACAAGCGGGGCCAGAGATGACCTCGTGTTTCCCCGTTGCCCTTCGCTGGCTGGACAGGCTCTGTCTCTAGACCCAGTGTCTGATCTCAGCTGAGACTCCCCACTCACCTCAGCCACACAAGGGCGCGCGTGTGTGTGTGGTTTGATGCGGTCAAGCCTGATGTGGGCCAGGAGGGTGTGTTAACAGCAGCTCGGAACAAGAGCTCTGCACAGCCTGGGTCTGAATCCTCAGTCTGTCACTTATTAGTGATGTGTCTTTGGCAAGAAACCTCATCTTTCTGTCCCTTAGTTTTCCCATCTGTAAAATGGGAATTGATTCCTATCTCACAGGGTTGTGAGGATTAAACAAAATAATACATGTAAATTGTTTAACACAGCACCTGGAACAGACATTACCACTCAACTCACTCTTGCTTTCCTCACTACCCCTGATTACATCCAAAACCCTAAATCAGCCTTTGTGCTTTTTCCTGTCCTCACAGTCACAGCAGGAACCAGATGAGACTGTGAAATCCTATATAATGAAAACAATTCCCGAAGGGTTGGGGGGGGGGGAGGAGGCAAAATACAGTGTCTTCCCAGAAAAAGGAGAACTCTACAATAAGACACTCATGTTCTGAGGGTGACACACACTACTTTTTGGAGATCAGTTAGAATTTAGTGTCTCATCTTTTGCAAATCAGAAAGTATATTTTTTTAAAAAAATGTAAAGCCTCATTTTAGGTGTGCAGTTATATATAATTAAGCTCACTCTTTATGCATGGCTATGATTTCTATCAGTATAACTACATGCCCAAGGAAAATCATTATCAGAAGTGCACTGAAGTGCCTAGGGCAGCTGAAAATCAGAATTCTGCCCACTCAGCTATTTTAACAAATTATATACCTTTGTCAGTAGGCTCTGCATTTGCCATTAGGCTGGCAAATATCCCTTTCCTTCAAATCCCTAAGATAATTATGTGCTCATTCATATAAAGAAAACTAAGCTTAACACAGTTATCTACCTCCTTTAAGAACAACAGTCATTGGGGGGCGGGGAGTTATTGTTTAACGGGTACAGAATTTTAGTTTAGGATGATGCAAAGGTTCTAGAGATGGAGTGTTGTGATGTTTGCACAACATGAGTATAATTAATACCACTGATCTGTATACTTTAAGAAAATGATTAAAATGATATATTTTATGTTATGTATTATTTAACCACAGTCACAAATAGTCTTTAAATAAAGGAGAGCTTATTAGTTGCAAAAGAAATTTCAATTTAGGCTATCGAGAAGTAATATCACCTTTCTCTTTAAAATCATGAAAAAGAAGAATGAAATGTATTAATCAAAGAAGGATGTCTTTTCCCCAAAGAAATCAGCTCCAGAAAGGTTAAAATTAATTTAAAATAAAAAGGTCTTTCTTTTTTTTTAAATAGGTATTTAAAAGAGTGTGTTTTCTTATTCCGACTTCAATATTGAAGTGTCTAAGAAATGATACTCAGCAAAGATCCCTAGGATTGAATTTGGGGAGAGATAGGGGTTTCTTATTAATGAGAAACACTATTTTTCATTACTTAAGTTAAATAGCTGTGAATGAAAATACCATAGAAACTTTGGAATTATGGTCTGTCAGGTCTAGTATGTGACCTTGAGCAAGTCTTCATCAACGTCTGTTTCCTCATCTGTAAAAGGGGGATCATAACCTGTCTCATAGGTTTGTCCAAAGGATTTGATGTATTGATTGCATATAAAATTTTACAATAATGGTGGCTGACCAATAAAAGTTAAATATTAATTTGCAGAGTTCGCATGAGAAGTATTGCACTCAGACACTCAGTCATGTCTGACTCTTTATGACCCCATGGACTGTAGCCTGCCAGGCTCCACTCTCCATGGAATTCTCCTGGCAAGAATACTGGAGTGGGATGCCATTTCTTCCTCCTGGGGGTCTTCCCGACCCAGGGATCAAACTGGCGTCTCCTATGTTCTCTGCATTGGCAGGTGGATTCTTTACCACTAGCACCACCTGGGAAGCCCCCATATGAGAAGTAAGTAAAATAATTATGGGGGGAAGCCCCCATAATGAGAAGTAAGTAAAACAACTGTATGCTGCTGGCACACAATAGACACCTAATAAATAGTACCTATTCTTTTATTAGCTTCCCCGGTGCTCAGACAGTAAAGAATAGACCTGCACTGCGGGAGACCTGGGTTCGATCCCTGGGTTGGGAAGATCCCTTGGAGGAGGGCATGGCAATCCACTCCAGTATTCTTGCCTGGAGAATTTCCATGGACAGAGGAGCCTGGTGGGCTACAGTTCACGGGGTCGCAAGGAGTCGGACACAACTGAGTGACTAAGCACTATTCTTTTACTAAATATTAAATAACCTTTTCCTCAGCTCACAAAGCCAGGCAAGTGAACAGTTCGACAATCCTGTCTGCCTCTGCTTTTGCACTTACGAGCAAGAGCCACTCCCTCTCCCTCCCACTGTCTCTGGTCCACCAAAATATCTGCCCTCCTTGGCACCTCAGCCCTCCACGAAGTCATCCCTAGATGACAGACACAGCGTCTGTCTCAGGCCCTCTCCCTCCCACATGTCTTGTGAAGGTAATACCATGAGCACTCATGTGGGGGAAAGGCCCGGGACCACAAAATGCACAGCCTCTAATCCAGTACATGTCACATAGGAAGTGCTTAGTATTTGTTGAATGCGTTAAGTGAGTGGATATATGAATAAAATACAACATAGCCTGAGGAGCAGGCTTACTCCTCCTTTTATACCCATTTAGTCACCAAAGAAATTGAAACACCTACCAAAAAACCCCACCTTTTCTTCATTGGCCCAAATTCTTCACTCCCAAGGTAAGCCTTTGTTGTATATCATAGAATATACATTTAGGAACATTCTAGAAAAGATATAGATCATAATATAACACTGGTCATCCTTGGATAGTGGAATGAAAGATTAATTTTGTTTCTGTTATACTTCCTGGATTTTTTGAATAGCAAAACAATAATGCTTTTTTGGAGATCATTTTTATAGTGGGCATCTTATCACTTATGCCTCATCTGTGTGAGATCATTGTATTAGTTTTGTCATGAACATTTCTCTTTTTATCTCTAACTTTTCTTTTTATTTATTCTTTCTAAATTTTCTTAATCTATAGATGCAGGATTTTTTCAGGGACATTTAAACAAATAAATCCTAAGCTGAATGTGTATGTTCTCCTTTAAAGTTTGACAAAAGGAAGATGGATTTGATATTTGGGATAAAATCTGACTTCAGTTGTACAGTTAAC